TATTTTTAAATTGACAGATAAAATTGTATGTATTTATTTTTTTTCCAAGAAATACATAAATTCTTGGTATAAGCAGGATGCAAATTTCATTTTTATTATATTAGAGGGGAACATGTGGTTTATATGCGGTAATACATCGCACACATTTCATGTACTTTAGAGATGAAATTGGTTTGTGAATTTTGACTCCTGCTGTTTGCCATCCCTCTGTGAGTGCAGGCCTCCCCGCTGCCGTGTCAGCTGCAGATCTACAGTTTGCTCTCCAGAGTCTGGAAGAAATGGGAAGAGTCTCAGTTACACGAGAGGGAACCTGTTCTGGATACTCGTGGAACATCCAGTGGAGAAGCACATGTGGAAAGCAGAATCTTCTACAGGTTCCTTCATTTGGCTTGGCTTCTCTTTCCTTCTATATGTTGTTTTCTTATTTGTACCCTGCCTCATTCCAAAAAAAAAAAAAAATAGGGACTGTGTATATTTTAAGAATGCAAAGTATAGACAAAAACTTTGTAAAGGAAATTGAGGAGAAGAAGAGTGTTCTAAATTAAGTTGACCAGATGTTCTCTTTCAAGGACAATAGCTGTCACTACTTTATTCCCTGTCCCATATGGGAAAAGTCTAGGAATCTGTGTTGGAAGATCCTTGACAAGGGCAGTAGGAGCACAGGCAGAGCCAGTCTAAGAACCCAGTCTACGTGTACTTTAAGGAAAGGCAAGAAGAATCAGCCTCACTGTCTATAATATTCTACCACTAGAGCTATATCCTGGGCCTTGGACACTTTTGTGGTTGTAAAGATGACCTTTTCAAGTTCAGCTTAAGTGTTCATCCAATCACCTTTGCTTACAGTGTGGAAGGGGATGGGGAGAGGCGTTGGGCCCAGAGTATGTGAAGGAGAGTAGTGTAGAAGGGACTGGGGACTTGGAGTGTCAAACGTCAAAAAGATGATGCTTTCTAGTGATGATGGAAGTAGTGAGAAAACAGTTGCCTCTATGCAATGTTGGTGAGAACATAAATTAGGACAACATTTTGGGAAGACAATTTATTATCATCTGAATATAGATACCCTATGATTCAACAATATCATGTATGTAACTCTATCCTACTGAAATGATGATACAAATGTGAAACGGCATAGGCACAAAGGTAGTCACTGCAGAATTATGTGTAATAGTTAAATCCTAGAATCCTAGGAGAATGATTGTTTAAATGACATAACTCATATGAATACTATGCAGCCAGAGCAGACCCACATATATTCACCTGGGAAAAATCCTGACGCAAGGTGGGAAAAAAACGCAGAATTGTATGTATGAAACCATTTGGGATGGCGGAGGAAGGAGAAGGAGATAGGGAAGTAGGAGACACACAAAAAAGTGTGTAAACCTAGAACACAAATCTATATGAAAGTGCAACTAGTAACAGTCATAAAGATGTGGGGGTTATTTTAGGAAAACACATGGCCTGGAACTAGAATTAGAGAATTCCACAACTGAGACAGCTCTAGTGACTGGCCTCCCTCTTGGTATCTCTGCTTGTGTCTATGCATCTACTCTTTTCTCTCTTTTCTAACCAGTCTCTTCTGCTTATTCATTATTTCTGTTCCGTACCATCTTGGCTCACATGTGGCCGGGAATGAAGACCCCTATGTCTTTGCTAGTCCCTGAATACATCAGAAGGCTGCCATCTTGGATTTTGTAAGGACCAAAAAGTACATATTGATTTGATTTGATTTGATTTGGTTTCATTTTTAGCTTTGAAAGAAAAATATAATTGCAGGAATGTGGATGGAAAACCAGAGTAGTTAAAGATGCAAAATGTTAAAGGGGAAAGTTAACTGTCAGGTGGAAATAGAACAATTTTTCAATTATTCAATAATAATTTATCAAATTGATAATATTCAGAAGAAGCATAGAATATTTTGAGAAAATCAAAGTTAGTAAATTCATTTTCTTTAGACTTATGTTTTTAATCCTAAAAGTTCCAGTTAATTTTAATCATTTAACTCAAGTTATAATCGATGCAATGTATGATAATGCAGTAGCCTTAGTTTTTTCTTAAATAGATTATGTTCATTTTTGAAGAGGCTCCTTTTAAAAAATGTGACTAAAGTGATTTTGAAATTTCTTTTACATTCTTTGGCTTTTATTTCATTTTTCACCATGCTTAAATTTCAGAATAAAATCTAGCGTGGTCATATTTATTATAGCCTTTCTAATAAAATAGTTTTGTATGGAAATAGATTAATGACTCGAACATTATTGGAGAAAAGGCTAATGTGACAGTTACAAAGATAAAGGAAGGTGGCTTATTCAGACAACACATACTTGGAGACCTACTCCGTACACCCAGTCAACATCCGCAGGTATTTTTGAAACTTTTCTTATGATGTTTAATATAACTTTAAATGTATAACTATTAATAGCTTGCAATATGCGAAAGTCCTGGTAAAACAGGGGAGTTGACTTCTCTATTTTAATGTGAATATTTGTGTTAACAGTTGATCAACACGATAATATTATTTTATGAGTTTGGAGAAAAATACCTTCCTTTATATTAAAACAGATTTTTAACCTCTACTAATGCCAGAATTTGAAAATATTCTTTCATTTAATCTTTATAGTAACTCTGTGAAGTAATTATTAATGTTGCCTTTTTAATGATGACAAAATTAAAGTGTAAAGAATTTAGGTGACTTTCCCAAGAGCAACCTTTATTTTTCTTCATAGCATTAATCAACTCCAGGCATAATATGCATTTACTATTTTTAACTTATAGTTTTATGCAACTCTCTATCCCACCCCTACTAGAATACAAATTGGGTCACAGCAGGGCTGTCATCTGTTTTGTTTAATGTTGGATTCTTATATTTCTAACATTTACAATGGTGCCTGAAACATAGTGCACATTTGATAGATGACTAAATGAAAGAAACGTCATAGTGGAAAAAATATAAGTAGATTAATTTTTATAAACAAACAAGCAAACTGATAAAATGCTATCATTTTTTCTAAATCCCATGCATATTCTACTGAACCATGCTGTTCCTTTACCCCTGTACAGTAGCTCCGTGTTTCTTTATTTGAAGGTTGAAGTCTATATCAATGAAATTCCAGCTAAATGTTCAGGTGACTGTGCGTTTACATGGGATTCCACGATTACTCCCTTAGTCTTGGCTACAAGCCCTTCTCAAGGTAACCTCCTGATTTCTAACTTATACGATGGGGTAGAAGACAGCTAGCAAAATGTAAACTCTGATAAAGATTTTTAAAAATATATTTATACTAGTGTCACCAACTAAGGCAAGGAGACAGTTCGACATGGTAAAAAAAATCTATCTGATCAGAAAGGTATTGAAAGAGCACTAATTATTTATTTTTCAAAAAAATATTGCTTTTGAAGCTGAAATATTGCCTTTGAAGCAGAGGACTCGTTAATCCTTTATTGCTCTAGTTTTACCAGTTAGAATTAGCTTCTAAAATTTCACTGTGACATTGAGGCATTTTTGTTCTACTCTGCTAACTAGCATATTAAGTGGACTCTTTCATCACATGAGACCACTTCTTCTAGGAGAATTAGTATTGAAAGGCTAGTCACAAGACACCTGCTGCTTAATAAAAGAAAATAATTGGGTTCTAGATTTGAGAATAAGACATGGAAAAAATTATTGCCAAGAACTCAGTCTAGGGAGTACATTATACCATTTCTTCATAGTACGTTCCTGCTTTAAAAAAAAAAAAATGATTATGCTTTGTAGCTGAGCATTCAAGAATTGAAATAAGCAGCAGGAATAGGGATTGTAAAGATGGCTTATTTTTCAATCAGAAAGGTAAGCTCAGATACTATAATCACACGTATAGTCTTGGTGGATAGTAGGAAAATTCATCAGCTAATTTTATATCAGCCCTCCACCCCAAAAAAGCATTAAAATCTTACTGTCTACTTAACGTCTTTGTCATAAGAATACTTTTTTCCCTGACCTCATTCCATACTTTCAGTCAGATAATTCTTTCCACTAATCTCTGTCAACACAGAGATACAAAATATGAAGCAACATAGAGTCATTCAATGGAAAAATATACTGTTGTGAAATAAAAGTATTTTTCCCCTAACTTGCCTATGGGTTATTGTTTATATCTTTTAGAAGATAGGCTTATTTTTCTCTCAGAAATATTTGATTTCATAATGACAGGCTCTATTTTTATTTTAATATTGTTATTTAAATTTATCATTTGCAGGGTCCTATGAAGAAAGCACGATTTTAACCATAGTAGGTTCTGGATTTTCTCCTAATTCAGCTGTATCAGTCTCAGTTGGACCAATAGGTTGCCCTCTTCTTTCTGTGGATGGTAGGTGCTTTTTAAAATTGTTAAGTCTAATTGTTCTTCTCTAAGAGAAAGTGGAATCAAAGAGCAGTGTTACACTTATGATTACCCTGTGATGTATCCTATTGAGTCATAAAATTAGCCACCTCATTTGGATGCCTTCTCTTTTTAATCTTTGATTATGATCACAGACTAATTATTTCACCATTGTAGTGTCTTTATCCGTAACAGTTGATTTTTGGGTTTTTTTCTTTATAAAGTCGTTACATGAAATCTCCCTTGCCTTGTGTGTCTCTGGGACACACAAAATGTATGAAGCGCTATTCTAGTGTTTCATGGTCGCCTCTGCCCATGTTTTGGCAATGCCACATTAGTCATGCAGCAAGAGGACGTGGCCCTCTTCCCTGACTTCTAGTCCATCAGAACCTCTCTCCATCAATGTAGAATTTAAAGATCATTTATATTTGCTACCTCTTGATATAGCGAGGGACACAGTCTATTTCTTTAAAAGTTGTCTTTCTTAAGCCTAGGTATTTTTCTTAACTTAAATACATTGGAATTACATAAGCAAATCCACTTACCAAATTCTTTCTGTTGTTTTCAACTTAGATCTTTTAAGCATTCTTGATATCTAATAGTCAATACCACACCTGTGTTATCAGTGCACATAGACTGTTCTAAATACAGTGAAGAAAATGTTTTCATTTAGTTTTTGATTTTATTTCTTGATAAAACCTAATATTTTACTCAATTTTGGACATATTATATCGGACCAGAATTTTAGAATTATTAATATAATGAGCATATAAAGTAGGATTTTAAAAAATTATGACAGTAGCCTTTTGGAGGCATGGTAGCATCAGAACTAAATCATGTACTTTGCCTCCATTATTGGTTTCCTTAACTCTTTTCTCGGAGTGTCTGATTCATAACATCAGATAAAATTTTCCTCCCAAGATTCTCATGTCCATATAAAGTAGGATTTTAAAAAATTATGACATGGTAGCATCAGAACTAAATCATGTACTTTGCCTCCGTTATTGGTTTCCTTAACTCTTTTCTCGGAGTGTCTGATTCATAACATCAGATAAAATTTTCCTCCCAAGATTCTCATGTCCATTAATATATGATTAGTTTCCTTTGGATATATTTCTTGGGTTCTAAAAATGAAGGCCAATGTTAATATTTGCAAACAAATTTTCAGTAATATTATCTCAAAAAATTTTACTTTATTATTTTCTTCTTTTTTTTTATCACAAGAAAATGAGATCAAGTGCCAGATTCTGAATGGAAGTGCTGGCCGTGCTCTGGTTGCTGTGTCCGTAGCTGGTGTTGGACTGGCACAGAATGTAGGGGCTGAGACCTTCCACTTCGTTTACCAGAGTCAGATCTCACGCATCTGGCCTGCTTCTGGAAGCCTAGCAGGTAAGAGTGAATAGTTCCAAACAAGAGAGAAGATTGCGTACATTTCCATCATTTCACTGTGCTGTTTCTCGTACAGGGTGAAGGCAGAGGAACCCAAAGCTTCCTGCTAGAGAACAAAGGGAGGTGTCCTTTGAGAAGGCACAGTGATTAAATGGCTGACTAATTCTTTTGTTTCTTATGAAGCACAAGTCTGGGTGCTGCTTATACTTACATCTTAGGTTATTGAATTAATATCATCAATTATTACATGTTTCTATAACAAGCTCATCAATTATGTCAAGATAAGATTTATTAGTTATTATTCTGCTTACCAGCTGCTTCATTTGTAACCACAGTCTCAGTAGAGCCACTTGACCCAGAAAAAGTTCTGGGAACAAATTGGGGAAAGAAAGGCTGACACAAAGGATGGAAAGAAAATAACACATTTTTTTCTGTCCTGTTTCATTTCCTTTATATTTTACATGTTTCCAGGCTTAGTTTTGGGTTTTGTACTTTGGTTTTGATCTTTTTAGTGTGATTTATTTTATTTTATTTTATTGTTTTTTTTTCTTAGTTTTCCTTTTACTTAGAAGCATTAAAATTTGAGATTTGGCGAGAGTCTTAATTTCCCCACCTTTTCCACTCACAGAATGGTTGAGTGAATAGAAACAACATTATTTTTTCTTAGGATGAGGAAGGCACTATGGAAAATAGAAGGCATTTATAACAATGCCCCAAAGCAAGTGTGGGCTGCAAATCTCTGTTATTTTATTAAATCCTTTATAGTTCCAGGCCTTAAAGCTCAGGCTCAGGTGTGGGGTGGTGATCGTATATGTTTCCAGTCTGATCTTTGATCTATTTGCCAGTCCGTCTCTTGGATGATTAGACAATTCTCAAATGATCAGAAGTTTCTTTTCGTTACAGTTATCTGAGGCTTTGTTCGTTTGTTTTTGTTTTTGTTTTTTTTATAAAGGTGGTACTCTACTGACTCTATCTGGATTTGGCTTTAATGAAAATTCCACCGTATTAGTTGGAAATGAAACCTGCAATGTGATTGAAGGAGATTGGAATAGGATAACCTGCAGAACACCAAAAGTAAGCCCTCTGATTTCCATCATTTCTTCCCCATAGTCTGAAGTCTTCTGAATTAGGGAATATCTCAGTGGAGGGTTTAACAAGTGGTATATTTGCTTAGGAACTGCAGAGTTTCTGTTATGCTCTTTAAAAATTGTTTCTTCAATATCTTTCTGCTAAGATTCAAAGACAAAATATTATCTTCACATTCTAGATACTTAAAATCATGAAAGAAGACAGACATATAAACCAATATTAAACAATGTATTCCATTTGAATTAATAAAGGTAGATACAAAATAAAGATAAAATACAGTGGAGAAAGTGTCAGAACAGTTTCACAGAATAGTTGATGTCCTATCAATGCTTGAGGGTAAATGAGAGTTTACCAGGTACATCAAAGGATAAAATAAATTCAGTACTAATAAATAGTCTAAAAATATCAGGGAAGCAAATCTAGAAATTTTTAGTTTCCCAAAAGGAATATATTTTTAAAATGTATTAAAGTTTCGCAAAAAATGTCCAGTTCTCAACGGAATATTGTATCTTAGGACCAATCATGGTTCTTTATTTTTAAAAAATAATCTTTAAATTTAAACCAAGGCTCTGGTTTCCTTGTTATGTGCAAAAGGATGATAAATCTAGTCACTGACATTTTTTTAAAAAGGTAGCAGAATAAGTAGGGGTATTATATAATCACAATCTGTAGGAAAAAGCAATTTTTGTGTTGGGTTGAATGATGGAGATGAGAATCTACGGGATATTGTCAATTAAAACTTATTTTTTAAAAATTGTCATTCAAATACCATGACAGTATATAGGGAATTTTAAAAAAGGAGTAAAATTGTCATTTGGTTAAATGCTGAGTGTACATTAAACAAATACTAGACGATGGAAGATGTTTTTTCTATACTGATTTGGAAATGCATAGGTGCTCTATCAGTGAAAGTACCAAATATTTTTCATAGGGGGGTCCAAGTGCTTAGTCATGGATTCTGGAACTAGGTCAGCAAAAGTATAATAACGTGATTTATCAGTGAAAAGGAATAAAAATTACATTTAAATCTATCTTAAGAGCAAAAAGTAAAAACTTTTAGATATGTTATGCTTTATCAATTAGAGAATCAGTTGTTCAGACCATCACAACTATATTGTGGAGCCCTCAGAAAGCCAATAATATAAATGCATTTAAATTGAACATAAAACCCTTAAAACAACTATATCAAATACCTTTATCTTGAGAACTCTAACATGTAAGCTATGTTTGACACCACAACTTTCTAAATATCTGAATATTGATTCTGATTCATGACTTTGAAACAAAACATCTTCAGGGGTTTATTTGGAATAATTCCGCTTTCAGCCATTGGATTTGTGTATCTTTTTTTTTTTTTTTTGAATTTGTGTATCTTAACATTAAATGTTTTCTAATTTTTTCCCTCTTATTTTAGAGAATTGAAGGTACAGTTGATATTTCAGTTATTGCCAATGGATTTCAAGCCACAGCAAAGGATGCTTTTAGTTATAATTGTTTACAGACACCAGTTATAACTGATTTTAGTCCAAAAGTACGGACAATATTAGGTAAGATGTTCTTCAATAAGATCAATCATTAGACACACACATATATATATATAGAAACCACTTCTAGAAAGTCTTTTGAAACATAGCTTCTCTTGAACTTTTATTTCTTAAAGTAAAAACAGTCATAAGTTGTGTGCGTTGTGTGTTTTACCGTAGACTAGTCTATTTATTATTTCACTATGAACATACACAATGAGAGAAGTATTTAGTTTTTTTCCCTAAAAGTACTTTGCTATCTTTTGTTCCCTTATAAATAATTGAACATAAACTTTATCTTGACATAGCCACCATCAACTCTTTCACTGTTTTTCCTTTTGTTTCTGAAACTATTAGGATTTCCTAAATCCAATGAAAGATGAATTGTGAATTGATTTATTTAATATTCAAATTTCACACTGGATAATAAGTTGAACCTTTTTGCAAACTTTTTTTTCTTTTAAAATAATAGAAGAAGTTAATTTAACAATTAAGGGTTATAACTTCGGAAATGAACTCACACAACATATGGTGGTGTATGTTGGAGGAAAAACCTGCCAAATTCTTCACTGGAACTTCACCAATATTAGCTGCCTTTTGCCCAAGTTGTCTCCTGGAAAACATGATATCTATGTAGAAGTCAGAAACTGGGGTTTTGCATCAACAAGGTATGATAGTGAACATAAACTTGATGGAATTGTGGAACACAGTGGGCTAATGAAATTGGGGATAGGAAAAGAAAGAGCCATTAACCTATAATATGTCAATTGCTTTCTTTACCTTTCTGTATTTCCTTTTGCAAAAGATTCTGAGCATATCTCATAAAATACAATATGACAATTAGTTTTGAGACCAATAACACTCAGATCAGGTTGTAAAATTCTCTGTGCAACTAGGCTGGTGTATATGTCACATGATTTTTATTCATTCAGAAAATACTTCTGAAGCAGTTTTTAGGGGGCAGGTATTTACTCAGTTTTGCCAGTTGGATTTATGGTCATGCCCCCTGCATTAATGGTGCTCACAATTTTGTTGGAGAGATAGACTCAAAGGATAATATCAATAACTTAATTATAAATGTAATAAATACTGTGAATAAGAGGTACAAGTTTCTGTAAAAGTATACGATAGAGAGAGAGATAACTTATCCTGAAAAACAGGGAAGAATTCTCAGAAAAAGTGACAATTAAACCATGAAATGGGTAGGAACTGGCTATCTGAAGGAGAAGATAGAGAGAATCCTTCTCCAACTCTATTTCCTGTAAGTATTTACTATTTTTTTCCCCTAAAACTGCTTATTAACTGGTAAAATTTTAGTTCTGGTATCAGAAAGTTATTGGTTTAGAATGCTTAGAAAAGGAAGAAACTGAAATTTAGGGACTAAAAAAAGGCAAGTAAAGCTGATGTCAAAGTGGAAGGAGAGATGATTGCAGCGAAATCTTGGAGGAGGTGAAGGAAGATGAGCAACAAATAAAAGTAAACCTCAGGACCACCTCCTTCTTAGATTCACAGGGTGGAGCTCACATGGGTTCTAGAAGAGTTGTTGGCTTGTGCTGTGGCTTGACAATATAATGGGCAGAATTGACACCATTCACACCTGAATGCAGGTTGTGGTTCAAGAAATACCACTTCAGTTATGCTTGGAAGTTAAATAAAAGTTAACACAACCACTCACTTGGGTTTCTCTATCCTCTGCAGTTGTGAAGGGAGCTGGGATATGGGAGTCAGGTCAGAAAAGCATTCACATTTTGATGGCCTCCTAGCAGACATGTTGCAGCAAAGCCAAATAAATTAAAAACCCTCTCATTGAAACACTGGGAAAGGAAATCCTGACAAATTGCTAACAAACATGGAATGATAAATTCAAAGTAATTACACAAAATTGTTATTTTGTGTAATTCTAACAGAAACAAAAAATATTTTAAAAGATTAAATGTATTTCTTGTGACCTCAGTTCTCATAACCAATTTTTCCATAATATTTTAAGATCTGTCTCAAATTCTAGTGTGATTAGATTTTTTCAGAAACCTAATTTTCACAGTTAGGGAAAAATTATGAAATATGCCATCTGACCAAATTGACATTATGGTAATTACCAGATTGTCTAGCTTAAAAAATTAATGTATTATCAAATATTCAATTATTTTCTCTTTCTAAAGGAGTCATATCCTAGCAAGAGTTTAGCAATATGAACAAGTAGGAAGCTCACTGAAAAATCTATCCATTTTTCTTTTTCAGAGACAAGTTAAATGCTTCAATACAGTATGTTTTGGAAGTGACCAACATGTTTCCACAAAGAGGCTCCTTGTACGGTGGAACTGAAATCACTGTAATGGGTTTTGGGTTCAGCCCGATTCCAACTGAGAATACTGTGCTCTTAGGTAAAACCTTCATCCCACAGGAGGGCTGTTACCCTTTTTCTCAGCTTAAAGGATATGCTATAGATGCCGAATATTTATTATACAAATATTCTCCATCAAGGAAGCTTTATTTTTCTATTAGTGTAAAAAAGGTTAAGTGTATTTGGTTAAGGTGATAAAGAGAAACTGAATACCTACTTTTGATTTCAATAAATATTGTGTATTTAATGAGTATTGAACACTTAAAAGGGGGGAGTCTGCTCTGAAAATTAGTACTCACACATGATTACTATCAGAAAAAATGTACCAAAGATACTACTATATAAGGCAGAGCTTTTGAAGGGCCTTGGCTGTTTATTAATTATACTTCATGTCTATAGTCCACAAAAAATATTTGAGAAAGTGTTTTTTTCTTTATTTGCCATCTTTGTTCTTTCTAGGGTCCTTCCCTTGCAATGTTATATCATCATCTGAAAAGATCATAAAATGTACTCTTCATTCAACAGGGAGTGCATTCAGGATTACCAACAACGGGAAAGATTCAGGTATCAACCAACATTTATATATTGTCAATAATGAAAGCACTTTACCTGGGAATTAATTTGATTTTTGTCTATTTTCTACTTCAAATTATTCAGAGAATAAGTATTGTTATTTCTTTTATAATTTGTCAGTGGTATTCACTTGACATGGGGGTGAATCAGTGGTAGGCTTGAGTCTAGATGGCTAGACTACAATTTCCAACTTCAGGAATTGCCATTTGGTTTTGTGGCAGTACAGACCTCAGGAATTACCATAGTTTCTTATCAGTCATAGGTTTGCAAATGAATCTTCAAATTGAAATTATATTTATTTTTGCATGCCTCTATGCCTCAGAAAATTCTTATGCTTAAAGAGTTGATCATAGCTTTTAAAAATATTCCATGTAATGTTTCTGAACAACTTATTTATTGAGTTTTAGACTTTTTTCCAGATTGTCTCTTGAGCATCATTTTGGAGTTGTGTGACTTATTTTTTCCTTACCTTCTCATTATCTTACTTGCTATTATTTCTGTTTATTTTTGTTAAGTGTTTAAATTATGTACATAATAAAGTTTTACAATGTTAACTAAACAGTTGTTTTCACTAATGACTGTAAAAAAAATGCAATGTTGTTAAGGATAATTCTTAAGAAATTTACTCCTTTTCCTTTTTTTCCTTTAAAATATGACTCAATTCTTGCTCCTAGTACATGGATTAGGTTATGCCTGGTCACCCTCAGTCTTAAACGTGTCTGTGGGAGACACAGTGACATGGCACTGGCAAACACATCCATTTCTTAGGAGGATAGGATATAGAGTTTTCTCTGTCTCCAGTCCTGGAAGTGTAATTTACGATGGCAAAGGATTTACGAATGGAAGACAGAAATCTAAGTCAGGTATGTTTCTGCTTTATTGAATTTTGCAGCATGCCTCTTTTTCCTAGATATAATAAAATGACATTTTGTTTAGATGTAATATATAGTACTTTTGGAAAAATGTTATATACAAATATACAGGGTGGTTTAGTTGGTATTTTATTGCCGTAGCACAAATGTTGTTAATGAGTGTAAGCAAGTTATTTTGCATGTATGAAAATGAGCTCTGTTATTAGAAATATCTTTATTTTTTTTAGAAATATCTTTATTGATTCTGTAATAACTGACTCATCAAAAAACATTAAAACAACAAAATACAATGAGAATATATGTTTAATCAAATCTATCTGGTAGCAAGCGATACATTTCTGTTGATTGGAATCAGCTTTAAAATGAGCATTCCTTATAGGCCAGCTAAGTGTAAAGTATGTCCTTTAGATTTCCTGTTTGGTTCTGTACATGTAACAGTTTGAACTTTTCACTCATAAACAAAAATTAAACTGATGGTTTTTTTTTTAATTTGTCATTCCACATTGAGACTTTCTTTAAATTTTGGAGAATTATGCCAGACTTCCTGTGGTGTTTTCCAGAAAATTAATGCTGGATCTTGTCTTCATGGAATGTAATTTCATTATACAAGATATCTTTTTTATAGCCAGTGAATCATTCCCTTCCTACTTCCTATTGAAATATCATACACATGAAAAATAAGAAGCCTGTCATCTGCATGTGCATTTAAATGATCATTTCAAATTTTCTCACCCCCTTTTCAAAGATGCATTAATTGCTTGTATTTATTATGTACAATCTCATTTTATGGCAGGTTCATTTTCTTACCAATTTACTTCACCTGGAATCCATTATTATAGCAGCGGGTATGTTGATGAAGCTAACTCCATTTTTCTCCAAGGAGTCATTAACGTTTTACCAGCTGAATCCAGGCACATTCCCCTGCACCTGTTTGTGGGTAGCACTGAAGCCACATATGCTCAGGGTAAGATGGAAAATCTGTTACATAGGTGATCCGAGCTCATGTGATCTTTCTGGAGTAGGAGGCAGATAACTGGGTCTAACTGTGCTTCTCTCTTACTAGCCACATGACCTCTAATATGTTTGGGCTTCTCTGAGGCTGGAAATTATTCTATAAAACAATGTCTTAATGTCTTCCTACCAGTCTCCCAGAATCCTTGTGTGCCTCAAATGAAATATAATGTGAAAGAGTTCTGACACTCTATATGTGCCTGAAAATATATTAAAATGTGAGATGATGTTATTGTTTTATTTTTCCCTATGCAATCTGGCCTTGGACAAATTGAAGAATAAATACATTTTATATTCACTCTTCCCTCTTTATTGTACCATCTTTGTCGAGGTTTTTAATACCTTTGTACTTCCTAGGACCCTCTTGTCATTTAAAAATATATATATTTACCAGAATTTAAACCACAATCATCAAAAGAAAGAATAACACAGTTTGAAAACAATTTTCCTTTAGAATATAATTCCTGACTTATAGACAGTTCTTTTGTCTAAAGGAGGACCTGAGATTTTGCACTTGGGAAGCTCTGTGGCAGGCTGCCTAGCAACAGAACCCCTGTGTGGCCTGAATAATACCGGGGTTAAAAATTCAAAAAGATTGCTATTTGAGCTTTCAAGTTGTTTTTCACCATCTATAAGCAACATTACTCCATCCACTGGAACAGTAAATGAATTGATAACAATTACTGGACATGGCTTCAGCAATCTCACATGTGCTAATAAGGTAAAAATAAAACGATCTCCTTTGTATTTCTGTATTCCCAATAAAAACATTTTGATCATAACCTTGTAATTTAGTTTTTACGAGCTTTATTGAGGTATAAGTCACATAGCATATAATTCATCCATTTAAACTGCACAATTCAATAACTTTTAGTATATTCACAGAGTTGTGCATCTATCACCGAAGTCAATTTTAGGACATTTTCATTATCCCCCAAAATAAACCCCCAAACCCTTAGATATCACACCAACCCCTCCTTCTATCCCAGCCCAAGGAAATTTCTACTTTCTGTCTCTATAGATTGCCCATTCTGGGCATTTCTGATAAATAGGATCACATAATATGTGATCCTTTATAACCATCTTTTTTTCAACTAGTATAATGTTTTCAGAGTTCACCCAAGTGGTATTATGTATCAGTACTTCATTTCTTTTTATGACCTAATAATATTCTATTATATGGAAGACCACATTTATTTATCCATTCTTTACTTGATAGACAA